AGCCACAGGCCAAGAACACATGGCCTGCTGTCCCTCACAATGCAACAGAGGAGAACAAACCTGGCTCCATATCGGATCTGTTTTTTTCACTTTAGCGTCTGTATTCAATTGCTTTTGCTACGAGTTAATCCTGAAAGGAAGTGGCCTAGAAGCTTAAATTATACATAATGGCAAATCTCTGGGAGCCCTGCCTCCCAGGTAATGAGCATTAAACTGAAATACCTTTGTTTACCTCACAGGAAACATTCTGACCAGGCCCACCTGTGAATGGCTGCAGGAAGGAAGAAATGAACACCACGCCCTCCCCTTTTAGCATAAAAGAAGCCTGAATTCTAATTCAGGGAAAATACTTCCTTGGGACACTGATCTACCATTTTATTGGTTGGCTGGCTTTCCGAATAAAGTCCCTATTCCTTGCCCCAACACCTCATCCCTCCATTTACTGGCCTGTCATGCAATGAGCAGTATAAGCTTGGCCTCAGTAACACCCGCAAACTGCAAACTCCAGGCCTCCTGCCCACACTGGCACCCTAATTCCTCTGCTTGTCCACAGGCCTGGCCATCTGCTAAAGTGCCTGCACCTGGTTTGTGCCCCAGAGAGCTGCTTCCTACTGACCCAGTGGCTGGAAAGCCGTGGCCGAGGCAACCCAGCCAACTTCTCTGCACCTGTTGAGGCCTGAACACGGGGCCTCGAGAGGGGACCCCTTCCAGGCTTCTCCTTCCTCCCGGGGCCTCTCCCTCAGCCGTACGGACCACATAGAGTTTTCCTACATCTTAGAGTCATTCTTTTATCCAGGTTATTGGGCCGCACCCCGCAGGCCGGCAAGCCCTGTACTTGGCCAGACTCAAACCCTAAAAGAGAGCCCACGGTCAGCGACAAACACTTCAGTGGCTTAATGGACAGGGGGCTCTTACATGTGTGAAGCAAGGTCCTGGAGCGACACCCCACTGCGTGCGGCAGAGAGCGGGCAGGACCTGGCGGTGCCGGCTGCGACTTGCCGCCCAGCGGAAGCGGAACTTACTTCTAGGGGGAAATGACGTCAGACCGGCAGAGGAGCACGCCCCTCACTGCCCCTTTGCTAACCTATCTCAGTGGAGAACGTTCTGATTGGAACAATCACCAGCTGGGGCCAAGGGCAAGTACTGGAGCATTTACTGAGCAGGCTCTAGGATATGAGGGAAAGTCAGTCATGTGAGCAGGAGCAGGTGAAGCAGGGACTGGTGGAGCAGGGGATGTACAGAGAGCAGCCATCCTGGGTGCCTGATCATACAAAGCTTTAAATGTGAATTGTGTCTTCTGGTTGGACCCAGACCAATACCCTGATTCAGCTGTGCCTCCAGCCTAGGGGATGAGGCCAGGTGTGGCTCCTCCTGGCTGCTCAGCAGGCCACTTCTTCCTCTAAGTACATGAAGTGCACGGGCTCCGTGACATGTTTCCTGGGGTCAGCAGAGCCTGAATGTGTTCTGGAAGGAATGGCTGCTGCAGCCCTGTGTCTGCATGGTTGGGCCCTGCAGTGTGACCTGCCTTGGCATAAACCGGCAAGAGAGGAACACTCGGGGCTTATGAGCAAGGAAGGGCTCTGGGAAGCCACAGGAGGTGATGAGCAGGCACATGGCGGCTTTTAGGACCTGGGAGCGCCCTGGTTGCTTCCCACAGGTTGCATCCCAGTCAAAACTGGTGCATGATCACGTCTTGGGCCCATGGGGGTGATGTCCAGCTCCATATGGCTCAAGGTGCAGCCCATTTGGCCAGACCCTCATCCCCCACTCTGGGACTCACACAGCACCATGTTCCATCCCAGGCTTTTGTCTCACCCAGCCAAGTTGGAGGTGGTCCAGCAAGGTGTGCTAGACCCTCCAACGGATGGGCATGGAACAGGGGATGGCACAGACTCTGGGCACAGGCGGGGGCTGTCCCCACACAGCAGTCTCCCTGGGGAACAGGATAGGGGTAGCATGCCAAAAAGCCCCTATTTACAGGGGTCAGCCCACCCACTCTACCCCATCAGCTCTCAGCCAGTGGGACAGGCAGCAGGATTGGGAGGCAGCCCTCAAAGGGGCCTCCAGGAGGCAGAGGAGGGAGAGAGGAGAGGCAGGTACTCTGGGCCCAACGTCTCAACACACAGGGCAGTTGGAGTGAGTCCCCAGTCCTAGAAGTCCTCCTCTGCCAGGTCTGGGACTCACGTCCCACACAGTCTTGGCTGCAGCCCCCTGAGTGGGGCAGGGCAGGGCCCACCCCATCTTCTAGGTGAGGCTCAACTTGCCCCAAAGTGGAGAGAGAAAGCCTCAGAGGCTCTGACCAAACTGCTTCCTTGAAGCGAGGTGACCTCTCCAAGGGGGCAGCAGAGAATGTGGTCAGCCACGGAGCCACTTTCTCCCTAACAGCTGCAACTTTGCCTGTTTTTCACTGGCCTATCATCCTGGTCTAGCATCCTGGACAGCTAACCAGGTGCCTTTGGACTGGCTTAAGTCAAAACAAGGGAGGCAGTGGCTAGACAGAAGAAAGAACTTCCTGACCATTAGAGGGCTCACCAGAGTCAGGATGTGGTGATCCCATCACTTGGGAAGCAAACAGGCCATCACAGGTAACTCAGGGCCTCCACAACCACCTGCTGGGGGCACAAGGATGGCCCTGTCTATTTCCCAGCACAGAGTAGGTGCTCAGTAAACATGAGCGAGGCTCACAGGCTCGGTGAGGGGTGGGGACGGCTTGGCAGGCTCACGGGCCAGTTGCCACTTCCTTGTGGCCAGTATCCCAGCAACCTGGGTTCATGGCTTCCTCCCCATTCAGGGCTGCCATCCATGCAGGTCACCATTAGGGATGTACAGCCCCTGGGGGCTCATGGCTCTGCGACAGACCATCAGTAAAGGCCACCTGGAACCCACAGTGACCTGACACAGGTGAGATCAGGATGCTTCCACTGAGCCTCACACTGGATTCATGGTCCCTGTAAGACAGCCCGATAGACCCCAGTGTCTCCTGCCCAGACCCAGCAGCCCTGGCACCCTCAGCTCTTCCCTAAGCATCACCTCCTCAGAGCATGACCCTCACCTACCGCCCCATCTTTACCCCATCAGGCCACCCACACCTCATGTGCATTCTGCTCAGGAGACAGGAAAACCTGCCATTTGGGCTTTGCCTAAAACATCCTCCTATCAGAGCCACATTCCAAGAAGTTAGACTCACCTGAGTGGGATCGTGGAACAGACCCCAGGGGTAAGGCTGCTGAATGGGTGGTCTGGACATCCTCCCTGTCCAGGCCCAATAGGTTTTGTCTTTATGGTCTGTGATCTCCGACACTCAGCTCCCTGGATCCCCTCAACTCCCACTTCTCCAGCTGTTGAGGAAGCAGAACTTGAATTCCATCAGCAAACAGCCCCACCATTCACAGCCATGTAATTGTCAAGTCAGTCCACTCGGACCCTCAGTCTCCTCATCTCTGATGTGGTAGAGGATGAGAACCACCCACAGATCTCTATCCTTTCCCTAGTTCCTGCCCCCCAACACACAGACACACACACACGCATGCACACACACAATTACTCTAGCCTACAGTGCAGGTCTTGGGTGAAGTTTGTGGTTTTGTTAACTGCAGGGCCTTTGTTGTTGTATACCTGCTTCGAGGTGGGTGGAGGGGGTGACACCCACTGCTGGTTTTCCAGATTAGAGACCCCATGGACAACCAGGCCAACCTTGACAGGAAGTTTCTGCCAAACACTTTTTAGTCATACACTGTCAGCAGAAGTGGCCCTGCCAGGTCATGAGGCAGAGGACCAAGCCATGCTGTCCCAAAAGGGCTCTGGGTGCTTTGTCCAGGGGATTTGTAACTGTCACTGTCACCCTGGGCATTCTGCTGGTACAGACTGAGCCCTGGTCCCTGCCCCAGGCTGAGCTTGAATTCCTCTGGGCATCTCTGAGACCCTTGTTGGGACTCTTGGGGGCCGGATGACAGTGAGGCAGAGAGCTCATGCAAGGTCAGGCCTGGGGCCTGGCCCCAACAACTCTGCCTGCAAAGCCAGCACTCCCAGCCATGACAAAGAGGTCTTTGTCAAGGCCACCTGGCAAGGAGCCCAGAGAGTGAAAACCAGTCCTCCCACCCACCCTGGGCAGCTAATGGGCCCTGCTCTCAGCCACTCACAGAAGCAGCCATGCCCTTGGCATCAGCTGACCCCACCTTGGGCCTGAACTCCAGGCTACCTGTGTCCCCGGGGCCTCAGCCAGCCCTGGTTCCTAGGAACACAGTCACAGACGTCGTGCAGGGAGGGACACTGAGGCCAAGAGAGGTGGGGTCCTGGCTGTGTCACAGGGACACTGGCCAGGGAATCAAGGCTGGACCTCAGGCCTTTACTGTGCAGTCCAGAGAAATGGGGTTTCCTGGGGTCCTCAGGCTGGGACAGAGCATTTCAGAGCCCCCTCCCCACCTCCTGCCCAGCATGACTGCATCAGTAGGCAGCGTAATTCCATCCCTGGAGGGCCAGGAGGCTGGCCACTGTCCTACCAGAGCATCTTAGAGGCTATTCCACCGGAGAAGGCACAGAACTGGGCTGGGGGTGGAGCTCTCTGCCCACAGGCTCCCTCAACCTCAGGCTGCCTCTCCAGACCCAGCTCTAGCCCCTCTTTGATCAGGGCTCTGGCTGACCCTCCATGCTGTCCCCAGCCCAGGTGGTCCCAGACGGTGCCCAGGGACACCAGGCCTTCAAGTCCCACCCATCCTGGTTTGTTCCTGTCTCAGCCAAGAGGGTATCCTTCTGGCTCTGGCTGGGAACTAAACATACTACTCTGACACCAACATTAGAACCGAATTATTGAACCCTAAAGAGTTAAAAATACCAAGATGTCTCCGGAGATAAAGGAAGTTCTAGAAAACGTTGTGTCAAATCTAAGTTAAATTTATACTGGGTTTGAAAGCATTGGGCTCGTTCCTGTAAGAACTCCGCGGGTGGTCCCGAGTGCTTCTAGGAGAGGCAGGCGGGTCCTCACAGGGCATGAAGGTGCACATCATAGGCTGCTCTGGTCACAGTGGCTCAGAAAAGGCTTAGAGGCCGTCGCCAGGCAAATTCTCTCAAGCTTAAAAGGCAAATCGTTTTTTCCCGGTAAGGGCATTTTCCAGCTTGCAAGTGAAGGCCCAGGGGGCAGAAGGGCTGGGAGGAAAGGTAGAGGCAACGGGCAGAGGGGCTGGTTCAAGGGGGCCGAATACGGGCAGAGCGCCTCCTGGTGGTGAGATGCTGATAGGAATTACTGAGAACGGTGGGGGACTCGTGGCTCTCGCTTTGGCCGGGAGATGGGTCGGTGTGCATGGGAGGGAGTTTCTTGAGCCAGTGTCTTTCAGTGAAGCCTTAGGAGAGGGTGGCGGGGAGGGCTTCCGCGCAGGGGTGCTGGCTGCACCCTGGGCTCTGGGAGGAGCCCCCTGCAGGCTCCCGCACCGAGGTCTTGGCCTCTCTCCGACCTTCTCAAGAGGAGCTGGAGAAGTTGCAGGTGCGTCTGCCTTCAGCGAAATGTAGGTAATTTCTCCAGTTACCTCGTTAATCCAGAAAAACGTATCTAGAGGTTTCTTCCCCTGTCCGATCTCACTGTTAGACATAGCTACAAAGGGGAAAATGGAGACAACACAGGACAACAGCGTCTTCAGCCCACCATGCTGAGGGTGGAGGGCTGAGCCGACATAACCAGGGTCAAAGGGAGCCACCAGCCCCTGAGCTTCTATAAACAAACTGTGCCCAGACTCTGTTGTCCCAGATGCTCCAGAAATCTTCCCAGGACCAGGAGCAGGCCTACCTGGAGGTTCTGATGAATTCTAGGGTGGCTTTTTTTTTCTTAATTCTCTTTTCAAATTTTAACATTTTAATTTAACAAAGTATACTAAAAAGTATACTTTACATCTTGATCTAGTTCAGATATGTGTGTATGTGTGTGTGAATACGAACATTTTCATTTCAAATGGTCACGTGCAACAGTCTGATATTTTCTATGCAATTCACTTCTGTACTCCTTAAGAAAATGCTCATTAATGCCATTGCTTAAGCTCATTTCATAAAGGAAGCAGCAATGATTAATGAGCTAGAGGTTCAAAAACACTGTCTTAGATGAAAAGAATGGAGAATGCTGGATCTTATACAAGACAAAAAAAATCACTCTTGCAAACTTTACAAAAACGTGACAAAGTGTAGTCAGTGTATTGGTCCCCCAAAGATGTCCATGCCTGAACCCTCAGAACTTGTGGATATGTTTTATTATGTCAAAAAGGGACTGTGCAGGTGTAATTAAAATTATGGACCTTGAACTAGGGGGACATTATCCTGTATCACCTGGGTGCCCCAATCTGATGACTTGGGCTCTGAAAAGGAGAGCGCTTTCTCTGGCTGGGCTCAGAGAGATGGAGCAGAAGAAATGGAAGAGAGGCTAAGCATGAAAAGGACCCTCCCAACAGTGCTGGCCTGATGATGGCAGAGGCTAAGTGAAGACCGTGAGAAAGAAAGTCTGTCAACAAAATGAATGAGCCTAGAAGTAGATTTTCCCCAGAGCCTCCAGATAAGAGCCAAGGATGGACAAAACCTTGATGGTGGTCTTATGACACCCTAAGCAGAGGACGAAGCCACACTTGCCAGGCTCAGGACCTACAGCTCTGTGAGATCATAAATGGCTCTTGTTCCAAGCAGCTAAGTTTGTGGCGATTTGCTACAGCAGCAAAGGGGAACTCATATGCCACGGGAACATTTTCCAGGACCAGTGCTGGAGAGGGGCTGCAAAGCTGAAGCTTCCTAGGCTCAGGGTAAATCTGCTATTGGTGTGGGTCTATTAGCCAGTCTGGGGACTCTTCCTACTTTCTTTCTGTCAAACTTGATAGTCGCTTCACATTTTTTAGAATGCACAGTGACCATCATCCCTGAGAAACATCAAGGTACACTACCTAGAATGTCAACCAAGACAACTAGCTTTCAAGGTCCTGACACCTGCATCCTACGTGATGCTCTGATTTGCCCTCAGGCAGAGAGGACCTCCCCACTGTCCCTTGAAGGTCCACAAGGCCATGAGGAAGTCAGCACATCCCACAGGGATTCCCAGAATCAGGGTAGCTGGTGGCAAGAGCACAGCGAGTTGAACAGATCGGGGCTGACTAGGAGCTAGGGGACCAAAAAGGTATGAAGGTTTGACATTCACCTGTCAGAAGGGGCTGCAGGGGAGGAGTGTGTAGAGGGAGCTTCAGAGAGGAAAAGGAGCAGTAGAAGACTGGGGTCTCCTAGCAACCTGATCTTTATTGTGTAAAGCGTTTCCCATCCTATCAGCCTAGATTCTGCCTGGTGACCTCAGACCTCTGCAGTGCAGCCCCACACACATACCTCATCCTTCCTCCAGTCCCCTCTGTTGGAGTGCCCAATATCCCCCCTAGAGGTGTCCCTGGCACCCACCCTTTCCCTTCCCATAGTTCCTGACTTCCACCAGTCCCACCACGTGGGTCCACAGTGGCATCTGTTTTTTTCTAGAATAGACAAGGGAGGGTGTCCTTCTCTGGCAGGGTTAGTTCATTTTTAGCACAGTGGAAGCCAGGGGTTCTTGGGTTAGGAATTTCTCATAGGTCCACTCCCTACTCAGCTGGGTTTGGCTCACCTTAGGCTTCATACCCTCTTGACAGCCTCACCTCCCTGAGAATTAGACCCGTTCCCTGAGTTACCATCTGCTGAGATTCAGCCCCCAGCCCAGGGCCACCTTAAATCCTCCTCAAGCAGCCTCTGACCTTGGGGCCTCCCCACACTGTGGACCCAGCAGCTGCCAAGTGTCACAGAGTGCTGGCCCACCGTGCGGACGGGAGATGGGACGGCCAACCTCTTAGACTGACCCCAGGTCATCCAACTAGGCTTTTCTCCTCATCTGCCTGGTGCTGCCCACCTGATGTGAAGCAGTCTATAGGCACCACTGAATCTAAGAGTTAATCTCCACTACACCCCACACCACAGGTGTTCCCCACCCAGCAGCCTGCCACCAACAACTTTCTCCAATGGGCATTTGTGGCCTTGACTCTTCCCAGGGACTGCTGTGAGCCTGTCCCTTGCATGAAGTCATTGATAAGGTGAGAGAAAAGCCCTCTGGCTCTTCCTTCCCTGGCTCTGCTCACCCACTCCTGCCACTTGTCTAGGCCCAACTGAGCCGCCCACTTCTTTCCCCAGCACCCCATCTCTGTACTAGAGAAGAACCTTTGTATTACATGACAAGTTAATCTCTAAAGGGATCTTGCCTATAAGCTTTAATTACACATAATGGCCCATTGCTAGGAACCCTGCCTCCCAGGTAATGAGCATTAAACTAAACCTGACCAGGCCCACTTGTGAAGGGCTGCAGGAAGAAAGACATAACACCTCCCCTCCAGAGTCTGGCCAAGTCAGGATTTTACCCCCTCCTGTTTTACCATAAAAGAAACCTGAATTCTAACTCGGGGAAGACGGTTCTTTGGAACATTGGTCCACCATCTTCTGCTGGCTTTCCAAATAAAGTCACTATTCCTTGCCCCAAAAACTCGTCTCTCAGTTTATCAGCCTGGCCTGCAGTGAGGAGTATGAGCTCTGACTCAGTAACAGGTCTACACAAGGGCAGGTTTCCCCGGAAATTTTCATTCATTCTGTTACCTCATTTCACTGGGCTTGGAAACTCAGCTCACTGAGAATATCACCAGGTTTAAGATTTCCCTTGCTCTCACCACAGCGTCCAGCTCTTGAAAATCGTGTTCTAAGAGTTTTGTCTTCCACGCGCTTGAAAACTCTTGCCTGGCGATGACTGGCCTTTGACAAGCTCCCAGACGAAAAGTTAACACACCTCTGGTCACGCACCCAGTTCTCTGGGGTCGTATCCACCTAAAACTCTGAAACATCTGCTTCCTGGATGTTTTCTCACTATGATGCTAAATGCCTGTGCGTATCTTTCTCACAGGCTCAATTTCACCAAAAATAATTTGGAATTATAGTGGCCACTTTTGAGGAATTTTGATATGGACAAAATTACTCATTTGAGAGATGTCTTAGAACAAAAAACAAAAACAAATTTCTGACTGTCCAATGGTCTGTTTTCTTTAATTGATAGGAGAAGTTTCTAAACACAATTTGAACTCAAAAATTGCCTCCCTAAAATGTTGTTTGGCGAAAACTCACATAAAATGTGAGAATCTCCTCCCTCATCAGCACCCCTAGTGCTCAGGACCACTTTGGTGTTATTTCCAGTGCTCTTTAATGGCTTAAAATCAGAAATCGTATACATGTTAGGTAAACAAAAGTGTCAGCTGGCATAAATGTGATGAAATAAAATGTGCATCTTAAGGCAAGCCAGGAAATTTTAAACATAAAATTCTCTGTCTGGGCCTCCTCCCTCCCTCCCTAACGTGTGATGTGCCTCTGCACCACACATTAACCAGACCTCCTCAAAGGTGGGAGTGCCTGCACGCGACTGTAAAGATATTTTTTCCTCCCCTTTCTTCTGATGTTAACACTGTAACTTCTTAACAGATTAGCGTTCTTTTCCAACTGCATAAGGGGTCATGGTGACTTGCTGCACTCTTTGTATGTGTTACCTAGACTATGTATCTTTGTTGAACTTTATATAAAATGTCAATGTGTCATTTTGATCTTTGATCCTTCGTCTCCTAAAAGTATGTGACAAATGTGCCTTCCACCTCTAAGAGGCAGCATACTTCTCAGCGCTCTGAGAGTCTGCCATGTTATAATTCTCAGTTTGGCTTGAATAAAATTCTTTTTTCTCCTTGATTGGTAATGGGGTTTTTGTCAACAAACATCAACATTTGGCTATATATTTTATGGAGGCTCTAGACACCAAAATACAAAAATCTCATGAGGAAATTATCTTGTTTGCCTAAGCAACAGGTCATTTTGTTTCACACAGGAGGCATCACATCCTTTCTGTACCTCAGGAATCGGCAAGTGCTGGCTTTAAATATCTTATGACTCGATATAATTGTCAAGGACCCAAATGATGTCAGAACCAGGTGGGACACTCTCGTGTGTGTGTGCATGTCTAGACTTTCTCCTCTCTCCCTACAGAGAAAAGTGATTAGCTATCTAAATCTAATTCCCTCTTATTTTTTTCCATCACACTTCTTCTCTTTTCCCTCTCTTGAAAATGTGGATTTATTCATCAAAAAATGCATTCAATTGTTAAAGTGTATTCTGTGAACATTTTGGATAAAGCCAAGCTTGTCAAAATAAGAAAAAAGAAAAACGTTATTAAGCTGTTTTTTTTTTTTATGGACATTAGCAAGTATACTTAGGAGCATCCAGGCTGGTGAACACGTGGAGGTGCTGGGAGAGAGGTGTGCTCAGCTGGGGCCTGGATGCTCCGTGCCCTTTCCCCATACCTTGCCCCGCGCAACTCTTCAATCTGGCTGTTCCTGGGTTATATCCTTTTATGATAAACTGGGAATCTAGTAAAAATTAAAAGTATATTTACCTAGTAGCCTTTGTGACTCCTTATGAGATAGTAAGGCATCAATTAAAAAAAAAAAACTTCAGCATGATTCAGGCTTTATTCTATCATTTAAAAAAAATGTTAGCCCAGTATTTTGGTTTTGTCTAAGACCAAGATTAAATTTCTCGTGATTCAAACTTCCTAAATTTCCTACACTGGTTTTATAAGTTAAATATGTTTCCACTATTTCCATAACTTAGTGGAAAGTGTGCCTCATTCAGTCCACTGAAAGCTGATTGGGGGAAAAGGTCTGCATGACTGTCTTCTTCATGGGACATCAGTCCTCTCCTGCCTTTGGCATCCAATTTAGACTAGAAATACACCATCAGCTTTCTTGGGTCTGGACTTTTCAGCCTTCATAATCACATGAGCCAATTCCTTACAATAAATCTCTCTACACACACACACACACACACACACACACACATCTTATTGGCACTGTTTCTCTGGGTA